TATACTGTCCCCACATCATACAACAATGTATCCCTCAAAACAATGTTTCATCTAAAATTTTAATTAGGGAAAACTATATTTAAGACCTAAAACTCCACATAAAATTTTCAAACCATCACCCAAAAATGTATAGGAAATGCCCAAGTTATATTACAAACATAATTGGTAATGACAGAATCATGTGTCAGAACATCAAAATTGATATGAATATCTATGCCATACAAATGCTACCAGTGAGATATAGATTAAAACACATATCATTTATATAATATGTAAATTGTATACATATACAATTTACCATATTAATAAGTTACAAGAAAAAAATGTTCATACTCATAGAGGAAGAATAAAACAGGTCATAAAATTCAACATTCAGTTATGACAAAAATGCTATTGGCAAACCAGAAAGAGAAGGAAACTTCCCTAACACAATAGGAAAGGCATAAAAATGTCATCCACATCACATACCTAGGCTGAAACAATAAGAATGTTCCTTTAAATCATGAACAAGATAAGGACGTCTAAGACATCACTCTGTTCAGCATCTCTCCTGGAGGTCCTAGCCTGAGTATTCCCCACCCCTCTCTCTCTCTCTCTCTCTCTCTCTCTCTCTCTCTCTCTCTCTCTCTCTCTCACACACACACACACACACACACACACACACACAGGAATGAGAATGGAAAAGGAAGAAATAAAGCTTCTGGAGATGAATATGATTGAGGAGAAAGCCCAAAAAGAATCTACAAAACATTTTAAATTATGTAAATTATCTAATATCCATATTTAAAAGCAATTATATTGATTACATGTTAAGAGCAACTACACAGAACTTTTAATTAAAAATATTTACAATAGCAACAGAATTATAAGATCTAAGAATGAACTTACGATGTGTAAGATCTTTATGCCAGAAAATTTTGAATTTTGTTTGAAAGACGTTGAAGAGACAAAAAGAGCAGCATAGTGCATTAGGCAACATTCTCCAGAGAAAGGAAGAGAGGGAGAGAGAGAAATTTATTATAAGGTATTGGCATACACCATTGTGGAGGAGTCTGAGAAGCCCCAAGATCTGCTCTCTGCAAGCTGGAGGCCCAGGAAGGCCAGTGGTATAGTTCAAAGGCCTGAACCAGAGAACAGGTGTATAGCTTTTAGGAGGGTCCAAAGGCCTGAGAATAGGGGCCTAGAGGGCAGAGTCAGTCAGGCAGAGGAAAAAGGAATTCTCCTTTCACTGATATTGGGGAGGAAAAATCACTTTACTCAGTCTTCCGCTTAAAATGCTAATCTTCTCTGGAAACAACTTCACTGATAGCACCCAGAACAATGTTTACTCAGATGGGGATCCCTGTGATTCACACAAGTCTGACACATAAAATTTAACTATCATCCCATCCTCCTAAAGATCAATTTTCTCCCAGGCTATCACAGATTCAATGTAATTCCAATATACATCCCAACAGTGCTTTTCACTGAACTTTACAAGCTAATTCTAAATATTATAAGAGAAAAGAGACAACACCTAAGAGAAAAATCAAAGGATCTGGGTGGCGATACAGATGGGGAACAGGGAAATTACATTTCCATTTATCAAGACTTATTATAAAAATACAGAAATTAAGACAGTGCAATTCTGATACAAGATAGACAAACTAACTAGTTAGAGACAGAATAGATGGTGAAGAAACAGACCTACTCAAACAAAACCTTGATATATGACTATGGCAGCATGATAGATTTGTATAGCAAAGATAGGCTATTTGATAAACAATCTTTGAAAATTGGTTCTCTATATGGAAAAAATCTAATTGGATCCCTACACCCATAACAACTTTATATGGAGTAAGTACTATAAAATGGAATACACATACCTTGTCTGAAAAATCTCATTTATATTCTTGATGATGGGGTGAGACAATAAAAGATGGTGTAAAATATAAAGTTCACCCACTCTTCACCTCACATGATTGGTTTTTTTCTTGCTGCCATAACAAATTAACACAAATTTAGAGGGCTAACACAACACAAATCTGTTATCTATCAGCTCTGTAGGTAAATCAGAAGTCTGGCATGAGTCTCACTGGGCTAAAATCAGGGTATTACCCAGGGCTGTGTTCTTTTCTGGAGACTCCAGAGGAACATCTGCTTCTATGCTCATTTAAATTTTTGAAATAATTCAGCTTCACTCTGTACTGTTGTAGAAATGAATTCCCTTTTTCCTTGCTGGCTATGAGCTGACATTCCCAGGTTCTAAAGATTGCCTATACGTATTCTTCGGTTTGTGGCCCCTTTCCTCTATCTTCAGAGTGAGCAATGGAGGATGGAACACCTCTCATGTCCCATCTCTTCTGCCTTCTTTCTCTAACTCTTCTGCTTCTTTCTCTCATCTTTAATGCCCCATTTCAAGGTCTCTAACATTAATCCCATCTGCAAAGCCCCTTTTGCTATCTCATGTAAGCACATTCACAGATTCTGGGGATTAGGACATGGATAACTTTGTGGGGGAGCATCATTCTGCCTGCTACACAGGGAAACTGAGTTTTCTATGTTTGCACTAACACTGTGTGTGGCTTGTGTGTCCTTACACAGTGCCTCAGCTCTATAGGCAAGTATGGAAGGGAGACTAGGTAAGACATATCCCCTATCTTCTTCATCCTTTCTGCTTACCTATACTTAATTACTGGGTTTTGCTTACCAGGACATGTGAGGCCAAAAGGGACAGGAAGATTAAGAATTTAGATTAGATTTCCTGACACTGAATGCTAATCTAATATTGTAACAACCACTTTTCTTCTATCTATCTATTCTTGTATCACCCAAAGTCTAGGAAAGAGATACAAAAGGGGAAAAAGAGAAGAGAACAAGTTGAGAGTAAAACTACAAAATCTTTACAAGAAAAACAGCAGAATATCCCTCTTACCCCTTCTTTAACAAATTAATCTAGGAAGGTTCCAAACTTGGGGTGGGATAAACCTCAGAAGAGCCTAACTCATTTGAGTAATTTATTACATGTCATTATGTACCATACACAGTGCTACACAATTTCACAAACTTTTCTTAGTTCTTTAAACTGAGCCATAGAGTACATGTGCGTAAATTCTATCTGTAAATGAGGAAATTCAAGCTCAGAGTGGTGATTCATTTACCTAAGGAAACAATTTCTTCATCCTCTCTCTATGGAGAAGGCAAGGCTATGATCACCACACTGACTGTTTCAGTGTCTAAATGACATTCTTGGTGGTATCTCCTCTACATCTAACCTCTCTCACCCTGGATGTGTCAGTGACTTCCTAATGCAGATCTGGATTTATTTACCTTCTTTTGATTGCTACACATTTATTCCCAAATTGATTTTCTTATTACTCAGGTAAGTTCTTGTGTGATGACCACTGGGCTGTGTACCTATATTTTCATTTTCTATTTTCAAACCACTTTTTGAAGGTATGATTGAGATACAGAAAGCTATAAGAATTTAATGTATACAACTTGATGAGTTGAGAGATAAATTCGTTTAGCTTTTTGTTTGTTTGCTTTTTAGCGCTAGGCTTCAAAGAAACAAAGGTTCAAACAGAGACTGTGATCTCTGGCTAAGTCTCTGCTGGGATTTACAGAAACAAGATTTTATTGTTTATTACTTTCTCATTGCCTTTCCTGTCTCTTCAAGGAGTTATGGTTGGTGGTGGTGGTGGGGAGCCAATTAACAGTCTCTGCTTTATTTCTGTGGTGATAATAAACTCTAAAATTACAACATGAAATACCATTCCTCTCCCTGAATGACTTGCTCCCCCCTCTTTTACCACATCTTTTCACTGCACTTCCTACTGTGTTCCAATCACATTAGCCAAGGCCAGCTATCCCCAGATGTTGTGTGACCACCCCCACACTCTCTACTCAAAGTTCACCTCCAGCCTGGCACACTTGTGCACGCCTGTAATCCCAGCTACTCAGGAGTCTGAAGCAGGAGAATTGCAAGTTCCAAGTCAGTCTCAGCAACTTAGCCAGGCCTAAACTTAGTGAGATCAGTGAGATCTTGTCTCAAAATAAAAAACAAAAAGGGGTGGGAATGTAGCTCAGTGGTAAAGCACCCTAGGATTCAATGACCAACAAGGAAAGAAAAGTTCACTTCCAGATCTTCTATCACTAGTCCAGTGAACTATTGAGCACCTGAAATGTGCATAGTCTGAACTGAAGCTTAAAACATACACCATTTTTTAAGATTCAGTAGAAATTTAAAATATGAAACATCCTATTAATAATTTTATATTGAGTACTTGTTGAAATAATATTTAGCATAGGTTGGACTGCTTAATTTAATCTGTTCGTATGTTTTACAATGTGGCAATTTGAAAATTTTAAATTGCATTCATGTTCACACTGCGTTTCTACTGGACAGCGCTGCTCTGTTGCTTTACCCTTTTTTGCTTTTTTTTTTTTTTTTGGAGGGGCGGGGGGTCTTAATACTGTGTGAAATTACAGTATCCGCGTTTAAGGGCTTTGGGTCTTCCTCGTGCAACTAGAACGTAAGATTGGAACCTTGTCGGTCTCATTCACACCCGGATTCCCAGGCATTTAGGACAGAGCCTAGAGCACTCTAAGTACTCAATAAAACCTTTAAAAATGAATGACTTACTCTGCCTTAGTTGGACACGACAGTTCTTTGTGTCGACCAACAAAACTCTGGGTCCCAAGTTCTTTGGGTTATGTCCGCTGCTCAGTACTGACCACACGTTATCAACCCTGGGAGGAGGGATGGTAGGATATCCACCTTTGATAAAACCTCCTTCCCTACCGAAAACACTGGTCACCCATCCTCAAACGGGACCTTCCCTCCTCTCCTCTTTCCTTAAGAAACCAGTCCCACAGCCCCTCACTGAGCGCTTTTCCCTCCGGCCACATGGCGGCACACGAGAGTACGGCAGCCTATGGTACAGTCCGTTCTCCCCGCGCCTTTAGCACAGTGGACCCTTCCAGTCGTTGAAAAGCATTGTGGGAGGCCCATTCTGCCTTTTTCTTCCTATTCTTCTCGCGGTCTGTGGTGTGCTTGGGGTCCCGGCATGGCTAGTGGCGGCCACGCGGCTTCCCGCGCCCGAGCGCCGGGCTTCGGAGGAATAAGGGCGACTGCCCTGAGCCTGATGAGGCGCCTGCGATGGCTGGGCCACGATTAAGAGTCCGGGACTCAAATGCGCACGGCAGCGGCCTAACCTTAAGGGCCACATCCTCCGAGGATCTGAGTGAGGGCCTGAGGCCGACTTCGGCCTGTATTCCCTTCCCGGGAAATGGGACATTAACTAGATTTGCTTTTATTGATCGCCGATTGTACGCCAGGGAGTCTTGGGCGTAAGTACAAATCTCTTTTGCGTGACCCGGGAAGGCCCCACGATGTAAATGGCTTTGTGCCTGCCCGAGCTCACTGTGAAGTGGGTCGAGTGCCCTTTGAAATGCAGATCACTACACGTGTCCTCTGGCGCAGAGGTTGGCCGAAACTGAATGAGTATCACCAACTTTGTAGGTAAGTTTTCTTGTAAGCAAACTGACCAGCTTACTCGGGATAAGAATTGTAACCCACCGTTTAAAGTTTTGTTTCAATTTTCATTAACGGGTAGGATTAGTTGTATTCTTTTCAAGCAGTAAGCACTTCATCTCAGCCAGTCAGCAGCCTCTGCCATGGTAGAGCCAAACTTTTTGTTTTCACGGAGCCTTTGTGTTGCCCGTTCACTTTTGTAAACTAGTGAATGTGGTGTCAAAAAAGGCACAAATAAATACTTTGCAGCCTTTTCCTGCCCTTAAATTTTATATTTTTGGTGTAGGAACTGCATAAGTGACAGTTTGCATTTACATTAATTTGTATATACATGCGTCGAACAGTGTTCAGTATGTGTTTCTTGTAACCTGTTTCAACTAATTTTTGTTCAGGTGAAAAATGGATGCCTGAAGTGGACTACTGATCTCTGAACACTTGAGCACAAAGGTGACTTAAGGTAGGATGATATCAAAGTAGAAGTTGTGGAGGTTTGATCTTTTTCTTGAGTAGGCAATATTGAAGAGAAAAAGTAAAAACATAGTACTCTACTTCTGGATATCATTAGATTTGTTTCTTTCTAGTAAATGTAAAAAAAAACTTGATAAATCTCAAGCATAAAATCCAGAAATGATATGACTTTTAATTCTGACATTGATTTATTATTACTAAGTTCTTTATTAATATATTAGAATGTAATGTGTAAATATATACTTTTCAAATTGAGTATTTTCTTTTATTTCAGGACATCCTTGGTACGGATTTTGGAAGTTTGGTCTTCAAAAGTTGCTTGATCATTTTAAAAATTTCCAGGAGTCTGAGGAGTATTGAAATAATTGGGTCTGTGGCTCAGCGGTAGCACACGTACCTGGCATGTTTGGGTTTGATTCTCAACACAGCATATAAGTAAATAAAATAAATTTCTATTGACAATTTTTTTAATATTAAAAAACAATCAGTGCTATCATGGCCACTGATGGTCTTATGATAGCTTCTGGCAAGCCGAAGGGAAATAAATACTTTTCTTCCCATGAATTCAAACTACTATGGTTTTCTTGAATTTAAGACACTGGGTAATGATTCTTCCTTTACTTAATAGGAAAGAGCAAATAGTGTTTTCAGGCATTCAGAATTTTATTTAAAAGTAATGTATTAGGATCTGGGAACACAATGATAAGCAAAACAGTTCCACCCGCTGGGACCCTTTATCCGAGTCAAATATCACAAAAGTAAAGCTTCCTTTGTGAGATGAATACCACAGTGAGATTTGACCACATCTGGGAAACCTGAGAAAGCAAAGTTGACTAAAGGTAGATGCCATTTTTCCAAGGTGAATATGGACAAATGACATGTGCAGAGACCTTAGATAATGTGGGTCTGCTTCATATGACAGTTTTGGCTGCTTTCCTTTCTCAGTACTCTGGTTTAGAGTTGAATGTTCAATGAGGCTTGTGAGATGGCTATTACAGGAGCTAGGCATGTTACAAAATGAGGTTAAAGAGGTAGTAAATAGACCAGATCATGTAAGGCTTGTGTTTTATTAAAGCAAGAAAAGAAAATCCGTAAGATAACAGTGCAGAGCAAGTGGCCCAATTAGATGCCACTACAGTTGTCCAGGCAAGAGATGACTGATTTGGACCACTGTATTTAAAAGGGCAAAATCAACAGGATTTGATAATATAGAGGTCCATAATGAGTTAGGCTTACACTCTGACAATGGCCCTAAGTTTAGGTTGTGGGCCAGTGCTTGGCTAGTTGAAGCCTTTGAAAAATCCAAGTGGCCTCTTAGCAAAACACTTGAGGCCATGGAAATAAATGAAACCTGAGTAGAGAAAGGTCCTCTAAATCTGAGGTTTGAAAAACTCAATAAGTAATAGAAAGGTAGAGTATAGGACTGTAAAGTATGGTCAGAATGGTAGAAGCAAAAGAGAATTACATCAGAAGGAGGAGCATGTTTTAAGAATAAAAGTTTGGAGATTTAGTGACAGATTTATTGGAGTGGTGGGAAAAGCATCCATATAAGAGTTTTAAATAGGCATTTGATGACTTGAGGGCACTGACTGAAGATGAAGATCATTTTTTTTTCAAAGAATTTAGCCAAGAATAGAGAAGAAAAATTGTAGCTTGAGAGATTTGTGGTAAAAAAAAAAAAACTGTTAAGTTGTAGTCATGTTTAAACCCAGGTGGCAAAGATAAGAAAAGGAAAAGAATATATAGAAAGCAGAGACAAGGATCCTGAGGAGAGATGGCATCCAAAGTACAGGTAGAAAGGGTGGAAGATGAGTTATTTGTATTTTCCCCATAGGTTGAAAAGTCATCTGCAGAGAGGAAAGGTCTGAAAAGATCACTAAGAGGCAAGTAAGGTGGAATGACAACTGAAATTCACACTTAAAACCTTTTTCTCATTTTTTTTTCCAGAAAACACAACTAGGGCACTTATGAAATTAAAAGCAGCACTTAAAAACAAAGCTTTTTACAACATTTGTAAATAAACAGTGGAACTTAATGCCACAAAATACAATATTACAAAGAACTTTATATCAGTAAAAATTGCAGTTTGAAAGTGATGTCTTAGTCCTTGTGTACCTCAGCACAAGCTGAAAACCACCAAGAGCTGGGAAGAAGGTTTTCCTCCCACTTGGTATACTATTGCACAGCAAGCCAGCTGCAGGCCAGGATTCTAGGTTGAAGCATCTGGTGGTGGACAGACATAAGATAGAGCTGGATAGTTTGTTACCCTGTTTCAGAAAAGAAAATTAGAGTTTTTACAAGACTATCCTTCCAGTTAAAAGGCCCTTCAGCATAGGTATGCTGTAGTTGACCCTTTAAAGAACCAAAAGATTCTTATTTTCTTGTGCTGAAGAAACACTTGCAAGGTTTGAATAAATTCACAGTTTCAAAGTACCAGTGGCACACAACACCCCTCCCACTCCCATTCCTGGCCCTTCACCAGGATCATGTCTCTATCTTGAGTCGAGCAGCTTGAATAGTTTTTATTGTTTTTGCTGTGTGCTTTCCAGTTAGATTGCTTGTAGATGTCTGAGATTTGTCTTCAATCAGGCTGTCTTTAGACCCATTTCTTCTCTAAAAGAAAATTTGAAAAAATAAGTCAGAAGCAAATACAGCCAAATCAATTATTTTTAAAACCACATCAGGTTATTATTACTCAGGTTCATAATACCAAAAGCTGTTTGACAAATACTCCCTCAAATATTTAAAATGTATGTAATTTTAAAATATGTCAGTCTTGACGATTATGTACATGGTGAATTTTATTCATGAAATTTAGGCATAATTCACCCAAATAAGTCATTTTTTTTATGAATAATTCCTAAACCAGACTCAATCTTCCCACTTTTCCAAGCAGGGCAGAGAGATGAAAATACAGCTTAAAGTAACTTAAAATCTTCCATAATTATAAATTGTTTTCAGAAGTCACTGAATGAAACAATATGCACAGCACAATGACTTAAGGGACCCCTCACTTATCAGAGTTTGTGATGTGAGCGCTTGCTTCATCATAGAGAAAAAGGCTGGCTGAGTTACCAGAGCCTGGGCACAATACCCAAAACTTCTAGAATTGAATTTTGTACACAATCCACAACTGGATGAAGCCCTGAGAATGCCACTGACAGTATCTCAAACTACTTCCCTCAACCTTCCTGCCCTTACCAATGATCCAAATGGTCTATAGATCAGACTGGGAAGCATTTTTTTCTTCCACGAAATATATCCTCACACATATGGGCCACACTATCCATATTCCTATTTTGAGTCATTTGGACCTAAAAAACAAATCATCCAGGGCTGGGTCTATAGTTCAGTGGTAAAGCTCTTGCCTCATACGTGTGAGACACTGGGTTCAATCCTCAGCACCACAGTAAAAATAAAGATATTGTGTCCATTTACAACTAAAAAAAAAATACAAATTTTTTTTTTTAGTTGTAAATGTGGTGCTGAGGATCAAACCCAGGGTCTCATACTTGTAAGGCAAGCGCTCTACTGTTGAGCCACAACTCCAGCCCCTAGATCTTTATTTCTTTAGAATGCTTACTATTTTAATTATTTTGCCTGTTTACTTTTAAGTAGGCCAGAATAAGCAAACATTTTTTTGGTAAAGGGCCAGATTGTAGACTATGTTCTTTTGCATATTATTTTTTTTAACACTGTTATTACCTTCTGGGTTGTACAAAAACAGGCAGCAGCCTAAATTTGGTCAATTGGCCATACTTTGTTGATTGCTCAGACCAGTGCATGTCAAGCTTTAGAAATGCTCATTACCTAGTTGTTGAATTTTAAATCAAATGCATCCCAGAGTCAGGCTCACAATCAGAGCCAGTGGTCAGAAGATGCACCTGAGTAATTGTATGCAACAAAGAGCTACCTTTTCAACATTTATTGTGTACAATTTGTGTTTCTTGAAATTCCTTATTGATGGTAATTATGTTGAGGATCTATAGTAGTTAGAAAAGTAAAACTTCAGTAGAATAAAATTCCTGTTCTTGTTGAAACCAACTTAAATATAAGGCAAAAAAAAAAAAAAAAAAAACCTCTGAAATCTATTAGTGCTTACTGATAATCATCATAATAATCCTAAGAGGTTTGAGCTTTCCAAAGGCAAAGCCCAAACTATCAGTCATGAGTGTAACTTTGAAAAAGTACTTTCAACTTGAAACAAATTATCTGTTTTGACAATTTATTAGCTCTCCCAGATTTAACTAATCAAACAGTAAGCAGATTAGAGCAGAAGCTGTGTTTACTGCTAAATCTCTGTTCCAGACAAAGACTTTCATTCCTCCAGCTGCCAGGAGGGTTAACTACTTAAGGCTCAAAACTGAGCTGCTTCCCAGGAACTACCCTCTGCTGAAAAGAGCCTTGTTACTCTCCCAGAAGCACTCCTTATCAGATAACTGCCAAATGGTGAGTGTGTAGTATTACAAGGTAGGATAAAGGGCCATCTCTGGAGCTTCCCACAGAATCAACTACTGCCTTAATTGGGACTATATCACACAACTCTTTCCTCTCAAATCTCTTCTCTTTCACTCCCCAACAAGTTTTAATCCTAAGGATACTTTTTAATAAACTTCCTGCTGTAAATCTCCATCTCAGAATCTGTTACTAGGGAATCTAAGCAAAATTAGCACAGACTTATTTCATCCTTGTTTGAATTATTGATAAGAAAGAAACAGGGCAAGGACTAGGGATATAGGTCAGTTGGTAAAGCACTTGCCTTGCATGCACAAGGCCCTGGGATTGGTCCCCAGCACCAAGAAAGAAAGAAACAGGGCAAATGAAAGGTAGAAAATCATGGATACCACTGGGATCAGGCTTAACAGGTGGTCCGTGATGTATGCATTTTCATACATTTTTGATGAGGAGAGAGACAATAGTTATAATTGGCTCTTCTAAGGAATCCACCATCCAAACAAGAATGAAAACCACAGAATTGTAAACAATAGGCTGACACTGATCCTTCATAAACGTTAACTTTGGTTTTGGAGTGATTGTTTACCCAACTATATATCCAAATATCTTATTCAGCCCACATTTTTCCCATTTTGCTAAAAAGTAGACCATGAGAGATGATCTCAAACACTATAGAAATACACTTGCTACAGTGCTTCCCTGAAACATCTGTGTACCTCCACTGATTGTTAATTTTCTTAAAACAACAAGGTGCTCTACTGTGTCCTTGAATTCCCTTTTAAACACATTTGTAAAACATTTCCAGCATGAAACTCATTCTCTCTAATGGGGAGGACAGACCTAAACTAGGACTAATTCTTCTGTTTGACAATTGAACATCTGTCACCCCACCTGTTAATCTATCACCTACTCTTTGTTTCTCTGGCTCAAAAAATACCTAAAAAGACTTTTTTTTTTTAAATAGTGATGCTATTTTTTCTTTAATCAAATGATCTTTCAGTCTTCAAAATACTTGGCATGGTCACAAGGTTCAGAACATTTTAAACCTCATACTATCCTCTACCTCTTATTCCTAACTTAATTAGGCTGTGTCTTGGTCTTGAGCGCTG